TTTTCTGGTTCAGAAAGAAGAAAAAACAAAAAAACAAACAAAAAAACACACACGTACAGGCATTAGGGTTAATTAATTCTGCGATTCGCTCCCCACGTCCATAAACAAAAAGAGTAGCATATGGGATGTTTTCCAGTACAAATTAATTAACTCTTGGAATATGTTTTTCCGAACTGCCAGCAGAGTGGTTGCTGCGGTGTAAATGGAGAGACAAAGTGATAAACGCAGCAGGAGCAAAACTGCTAGAAGAAGATAAAAACATGCCTTTGAATACTCAGATTGCACCAGCTAAGGGAAATTCAGCAATATAAAACGGTACGGCCATTGCCTTATCTCTGTGCTAAATCACGTCTCAGATGCGCGCAGTTTGTCCTGAGCTCCACAATCAATAATTGCCCGAGAGGTTCGCAAAACTTAACGCTGAAGCATTTATTTAAAGGAACAAATCGCTTAATAGGTTCACTTTATTTTTTTTTAAACATTTTCTCCCTCTCTCTTTCATTCAGCGTGTTTACACGGGACTTTGCTCCTCCTGCAAATTTGGCTTGCATTAAGTCTTCCAACGGAGCACAGCAAAAGATGGAGGTGACCTGTTGCGTGGTTTCAGGGTTGGCATAAAGATATTCCTTTTATCAGAGGGGTTTTGCGGTGCCTGGGTAAAGCTCCGAGAAACCCGCACCTCCAAAGCCCGCGGGCTGGAACGTGTATGGCTACAGGCAGCTCCACGCAGGAAGGCTGCAAAGCCGGCTACGGCTGTCTTCAGAAATCCCACTCACGGCCGTGTCAAAAGGGAGGATTAAGGGTGGTGATCTCATTCCCGCTGACAAGAAAAGAAGCAAGCGAAGCAGCATCAAGGTCTGGCTCCCCGGCGCGGGCTGCGCAGGCGAACGGGGCTCTCTGCAGATACGCCGTTGACGCTCAACAGGAAAACCATGGTAGGACAACCCCATCGGCTGCCGCGATGGAAAAAAGTCATCACCCGACAGACCTCCTCTGGTGACTGTTTTTGTTGTCGGCTGCTGCAAACAGAGGCAAACCGTGCTAGCTAACCGTCGCTGCGAAGTTTCGTATGATCGTATCTAAATGGCGCGGTATTTTTTTAGGGGTTTTGGGGTTTTTCCACTCAGGCAGCTGAAGGATGAATTAAAAGCTGTACCCAGCACGCAGCTGTAGGTACCAGCCTGATAGGGAAGATGCAGCGGTGCAGAACGCTTCCGACCAGGGCTGGGTTTCAAGTCGGGAGGTCAGATTTGGGGCCCCTTACACCGCTCTTGGCCAGTTTTCCCCTTTCTCCCCGCATCCAGCTGCTGCCGTAACAGCTCCAGCCAGAAACCGCCCGGCTCTGCACTCAATAACCGCACGGCATTTTAGCTGCCGCTGCCCGCATTTTAATAAACACCATGAAAAGTGAGAAACCTGCGCTAAACAACTACACTTACGTTTAGATCTTTATTATTTTCCCCCCCGTATTATGCTGCCAGCAGAGAGATTTCTTGGGTCAGGTCAGCAGACAAAAGAAACAGAAATAGAAGCTGAATTTTCATGGCAGGCTGGCACGATCCTCTGGCCGGAGACGTCACGCTGTACAAAAGGCCTTGGTGAGGAGGATACGGGACACCTTCCTCTTTCACCCCTGCTTCGGCACAAACAGCTATAAATCTTCCAAACTTTGCAAGGAGACCGGTAATTGCACCGTTATCCCCAGCACCAGCTTGGGCTTATTGGCTTTTCCCCTTGCACCACGGGAGCTGGTTTTTTGGCAGGGCAGGGAGGAGACCCTGGTACAGCCTGGGCACCCCAAGCACCACTGACCGGTCCCAAATGACCAGATAATCCAGAAAACTGTTTTTTTCAGTGCAAGGAGAAAACTGTTCTCCCCGAAACAAATTGAAAATGGGGCAGTCGAAGGGCTGAGGGTGTAATTAAAGGACTCGGGAAAGCCTTATTGAAGAAAAGCAGCTGGTTTTCTGTTCAAGTTTTTAAAACTAAGATTCACATCCTGGGCATGCCGATAACGATAATTGCAGCGGAGCCATTCATACTGCTGCAGTTAAGCCTGTATTAATTTCCTTACATTACGAACCTCAACTCGGTTTACCCCGAGGCAGGAATTTGTTCCAGGATAAAACCCACCCCGAGAACCCCTCGGTTCGTAAGTGAGCTGCTTTGCTGGAAAAACTCTCCTTTGCCTATTGGAAAAATGATAGAACCTGAGCATGACGTAAGGGTGGCACGAGGGGCTTTTCCCCTGGTTAAAGAGGTCCTTTTTGGCTGTTAGTGTCCTTGGACGAAACAGCATCTTACTTTCGGATTTTAACTTAAAACTGCAAAAATAAACACAACGAGCACGTCCAGCCAATTTCTTTCGAGACAGTTTGATCTACAAATCTGCATTTTCAGGGTGAGGCAACACAAAGTGAATTTGCTGGCATCTCTTTGGTTGTGAAATAGCTTTCCAGCTTCCAAGACGCAGAGGGGTGTTATCGGCAGCCTGGGGAGAACCGAATTTCTCGTCCTGCCCTCTCTGGCCGCAGCAGCGGGAGCCTGAGCCCTCTTGCAAACCATGCACAAAGCAGCAAGAAATTCAGACCGGCACGAAGCGGCATTAAATTCAGGTTACAGCTGCGAGCCTCCCAGGCTGCCCAGCCTCAGGGGGACCCAAACCCAAACTATTTCTGCTTTCCAAAGCAAGGCTGAGATAGTTAGCTCTGATTCAGCCCCGGAGAGAGCGATCGGAGCCCTGGCATCACCCTCCCAGCCAGCACGCCTTCCCACCGCCCTGCCCGGCCTCCGGGGCAGTTTGGTGGCGGAGCCGCTGCCCGCGGGGTGGTGGGGAGCTGCCCTGCCAGGGGTGCTTTGGGAGGGAGATGTTGGGTGTCAAATTGCCCGAGCACTCGCAGCGCGGTGGA